CGTTCACATTCCAAGTAGACCTTGGGCGTACTTAAGGCCTACTTACGTACGTAGTATGAACTCGCCTAATTATGTATCACTCGCTGTTTATCTTTAAATCAATACTTGTGTAATCTAACCCGATGCGGTGTTTTTAAAAAGGAGCATTGAAAAAAAATACGAGCAGAAGGTTGTTGTGAGAACTAGGAGATTGTGATTGTGAATAAACTTTAAAAGGATATACTATCTGTGACTTCGTTGGAGAATACTGTTTAGGGGAGGCAAACATTTCTCCAAAACCAAAGATTTAAAATATCCACTTGTAGTACATTCGAAAAATCATTTAGGACAATCACAGGGGAATATCACTTAAGGCATTAACGCAACTTTTTTTTTCAATATTTGCTTCGTTGCAGGTCAAAAAGATGCTTAGACCATGCGCGCGAGCAAACAATAATCACGCTTAATTTCAAGCAGGGATTGAACTAATAGCAACTCAATCTACCTTGTCATTATGGACAAGTTTAAAAGGCAACAGCAGAAAACTGACGCAGAAAAAAAAACGAAACAAACTAGTGCCGGGTTTCTTAGCCTAATCGGCTCAGTCCAATTTATGGCCAAGGAGCCGGCAGTGTGTGTTGCTGTAGAGGGGATTAACCAATCACATTCAGATATTAATATCTGGTTTTCAGTCAGTCAGAAGACTTATTCCTTAGGAAGTTGTCTAAGCTTATTAAAAGACGGTTGATGACTTTTTTTTACTGGCTCCTTAATTATGTTTAATCTTCCGAAATTTTTCTTTCCGCTGCAGCCGTGTCTATTTTTCCCATTATCTTAACATCCGCGTCCCAATGTTCGAGAAGTCGATGTTCAGAAAATTTCTGTGCCAACTTAGAAGGAATCATACTAAGACAAAATTTATTTAAACAATACACGACATTTTAACATTAATAATGATAAATTAGCATAATTTAAAAGAAAGATAAGATACAGTACAAAATCTACATATATCTGCCTCCACTCCAGACGTTTCTTTTTTTCTTTCTGAGCGTTATCAGTGATTGGGAGACTGGGACGCAACTGTTACAACTGGTAGTGAGCAGGGCGCATTGCGCCCTGTAACCCTGTAGTGAGTGAAGAGCGCAACCGCGTTTCCTCCTCCCCATGATTCCCTGCGCGTCTCCTCACTAGTTAATTATTATATTTTTTACTATCGCGGGGGCGACTGGGTACGAGGAAGCACATGTATGACAACTTACAGACCGGCATGCTAAACCACAGACTTGTTTACCGTAACCGCCTTTCCGGTTTCGCCAGATTTCCAGACATCAAAGCGAAACGTCCTACCTAAAGTGGCATGAAACACTGTCCATCGTTGAACATATCGGAACCTCGAGTTCTGAACTTTGAACTTATATTTCTTATCCAGTATATCACTTTTCTCTACCAAATTATTCGCGAAAAGAAAGTTAGACAGTACGTAAAAAAAAACCTTGTTAAAGGCACTCTACAAATTCACGTAGTTATCTGACTGACCCGTTCACGTTCACCATGCATTCAAGCATTGAACACAATGACTGCAACAGACCGAAAAACAGCGTTGCAAGTGATTGACACTCGACAGACTTTATAAACAAGAGAGTAGTGTTTAAAGTTGATCTGTTTACAAATTATGAGATCATTTAGTGTCGGCAGACCTGAAACGAAAATTTATTGTCGGTAGACTTGACAGAAATTTAAATTTATACGCAAAAATAAACTATCAATTACTTATCCTTCAATGAAAGTAAATTTTTCTAACAACTATAATTTTTTAAACGAAAACATCGGGCGAAATTGCCTTTGTTCCTTTGTAAAGAAGTTCATCAGTTGTGTTATCCGCAAGCTAGACATGATTTAACTTGCAGGATTTCCCGTTTGGAATTCTGTGCTGGAGGTTGTTCATGCTTTGTAAACAACGGCTGCAGACCGCTGACCGTTGCTACTGACAGGTGCAATTATCAGCTTTCCGCGTCTTTTTTGTCGTACCCAGTGCACCATTAGACAAATGAACGCGGACAACAACAAGGTGGCGACGACAGCGATCCAAATGCCGTGTTTTGAGATTATCACGGACATGTTTCCTTTGTTATCATGGCGAGTATTTTTCTGAGCTCCCTCTGTATGTGGGGCCTTGCTGCTAAGCTCTGCGTCAGTTGATATGGTCGTGTTCGAAGGCAAAGTCGAGGCTTGTGTTTTATTTTCTCTCAGGCGAAACTCGGCCAAACTTTCGTGGACATGATCCCCATTGCCATCGTCTCCGCCCGAATTCTGAGTGGGTCTGCTTGCGTTACTTTGGGTCGGCGGCAGAGGTCGTCGCGTACCGCGATGACTGTTGGGTATGATTGGAAATCCCAGATGATCTAGCGTAACATCGCTTCTGTTTCCCCTTAACATCTTCTCCATTTGAACCTCTCTTAGTCCTGTTAAGTTCAAGGCAGGTCCACCAGTTGGCCATGAGGTGTTTCTTCGTCTTGTTGGCCAGTCAAAGACGGGACGGCGCGTCAAAGTTGTAGCTACTGGGGGGACTCCCGTGGCAGTTAAGTTTTGCACTTTAGTCACGTTAGGCGAAGTATTGTTGTGGGACACGTCACGCTTTATTCGGTGCACGTGATTAATCTTCCAGCAAACTAAGAAGATGATCAAAAAAATGTTAATTATGAGGCAAGAAAACACTTTGAAGAGGTGTTTGATTGATCAGCGGTAGATTAGGCGACAGGAGACACACACGATGTTTTTGAAGGACACTTAAAATCTTTTAATAGAAAGAAATGCATTGAGCTTATGCAACATGGAAAATAATTCAAACAACATTTATCCAAAATAACTAATTGTATACAAAAGTAAGCTACTTAAAATAAGGATTTATTTGTTGAAAAACAAAGGAGGAGAGAGTCATGTTCGAAACAGACTCATTTTGGTTTCGAAAATGTCGTTAAAAGGTGACTCCCGCGCAAAAAAGCGGAAGTCATTTTAAAAACGACAAAGAACGAAAACTAACAAAAAAGTTGTGTTAGTCAGTGAACATTTCGTGACTGCATGCTTGTTGTAACTCCATTTTCTAATTCCGAAAGAAAGCAAAAACACAAAACTAGGCTTCGAAAAGATCCGATTACCTAAGTTTAAGATCACGCCTTCGATGTCACTGTTTACATAAACGAACAGTCGATAACCATGTTGTTTTTTAATATCAAGTTCTGTAGTTTGAGCTCCTAAAATGGATTTTTTTTGGTGGATGGTTTACTTTGGGTTTTACTGATATCAATTATTTATTGACACATCTGTCCAAATCTGAGCTTGCAAACTCTTTGCAAAGGCTAATCAGATACACCCAGCGACTCTGATCCTTAATCACGTGCTCATCCCATTAGTAGAACACGAAAAGCGTGCATCTCTAAATGTCTTTCATTTTTGAGACCAGTCACGAGGCAGTGGCGGATCCAGACTTTGAGCTAAGGGGGACCCCGGTTTTGTTTTACTTGCCCTGTCGGCTTTTCTTCCTTCAGTCATTTATTCTTTCTTCACCCAAAATAAGAGGAGGGGGGGGCCCGGGCCCCCGGGCCCCCAGGCCCCTCACCTAGATCCGCCACTGCGAGGCCTATAAAACGAAACGACTTCACCAAACTTGATTTTAAAAGAGACAATACTTTTCTAAAAGAGGGAATGAATGTTCATAATTGTGTCGAAATTCAGACAACAATTGGCAGAACTAGAAGTTATATTTCGTCATAGTTAATGATCAGACTAGAATATGGCGACAAAGGTACCTATTAAATACGGTGTTAATAACAATGAAGAAACGAAACAAAAAATGTATTATTAGCAGACAATGGAAAATTTTGAATTTTGTTATTTTCGTCCCAGTAAGAACAAAATGACCAAACATTATATTTTCGTGTTTCAAGACCGCATTGCAAACCACAAAAGTTCGAAACACTCGGCCGAATGTAGCCATAACAAGTTTCGCGCTGTCAAAGATTATGCCGAGAAAAAAAAGAGAAAGAATTACTGTCACAAAGACACAAAGATGAAATCAAATTAAAAGAGTNATTTACATCCTCTAAAGATCTCTAACAGTCTGAGCACCACTTTAACACAACTCCATCGCCAGCGAAGAGAAGACTGGGTGAGCATTTTAAGTCTATTGAAAGTTGACGCAACTATTTATTTAGACATTACCCGCAATGGGAGAGTAATTCGAAGGGTGAGAGAACGACAAAAAAACTCTAGACTCAAAAGATTTAAGTCCGTCAATAACGGAAAAAAAAGCGTTTCTGTTAGGATTCGCGGGGTGTCATGAACAAAGCTAATTAGAAATTTCCTTTTCACTCCACGAGTTGAGAGTTCTAGTCAAAACATCGGACGTCGTTCGCACGAACCTTGTTTTTGTCCTTGCTGCTTCAGGCTGGCTGCGGCTTCGGACGGCAGGAAGAGCAAACAAAGAACACAAGCTAAGACCAGAGAACTGATGGCTTTCATCTTCACGATGTAACGTCCTTAGGTGTTGTGGAATACTTCGTGTGCAGGAAACACCTTGTAGTAAAACTAACCAGTGGCTCTGACACCTGATAGAGGCAGTTCTATCTCTGGCGCGAGTTACGACAAAACTGACTCATTTACACTCAAGCTGTGATTGAAGTCCAAATTACTGCCTGCAAAGGCCGCAAAGTATCTTGATTGACAGTACGTCACTGATTTCTGACGCAAGAGTTTCTTGGCCACAGTTGCCCATGACCACCACTGAAGATAGAAACCTGTTTGATAAGGTCAACCGATGATAGACTAGTATACAAGATGTGATATTTCTTGAACGACAAGATATATCCTTCAATAAGACCTGTGTATGGTTCCAATTTACACGGGCTTCTGTTGCGGTTAATAAGCACAGGTACATTCACATATCTCCCAGGTCTGTTCGTTAACTACCAGCCAAACCAAGGTAATTGGTGCTTAGAATGAACCTTCGATAGATTTTAGTGGAAACGACGAAAATGAAAGTACAAAATGATATCATGTTTTATAACTTGGGGGTGAAGTTGTCTTGCATAACAGGACACAGTAATGGTAAAGCTCTCGCCCTCTCGACTTCTCCTTTAAGGAAAGACATATTTCGTTTGTGGCCGGCACGAAATCTTAGACGTAAAAATTTGATTTGGTGTATCGTTATTAAGTTTTTCTAGTTCAAGGTCGTGTTTTGTGATGATCTGGGCGGGCGCGGGTTGTTTGAAAGCTGGTTAACTCTAACCCAGGATTAACAGTTAACCAAAGTATTAATTTTTCTTGTATAAAAACGTTTTTCGATTCAAATATTTTATGTAGTTTGAGATTACTCAAGCTCAAAACTGAAGGACAAACAATTTAAACAGAAAATCTCACCAAAAGAAATAACAATACTAAAATCAAAATTCTTGCTAATCCTGGGTTAGCTTAATTGGGCTTTGAACTGAACCCGGCCTAAAAGAGCCTGAACTCGCCAGAAAGGTCAATTTGGAATGTGACTTGCACTTTTATGCGGCAAGTTGAACGTAAAGACTGCAAAATGACTATATCATGTAATTGACGAGACCCAAAATTGCTGACTTTTATTATCCAACTCCGCTCCGTACTCTGTGAGGTAACTGATACCGGCAGCGAGCGAGTACATAGATATCACACGATATTCAATTTATACCGTGAGAAACCAGTTATTGTAAACAGATTTCGAACGGCCCATGATCAATAACTACAGTATCCTTTTGCGTAAAAAAAAAATAATTGGACCTTTCTGTCGCCATATGCAGTGTCAAGAAAGAGCCACCATATCTGCTTGTTATGTGCGACTTCCTGTGTCCTCAATTTCGCAATTTGGCGGCTTTGCTTGCCTTGCGCAATTAATATAGTGCGTCTTTAATTTGAAATTAACGACAATCTCCACGAAAGAAAAACCATTTCTAGGGGCTTAGTGCATTCTGAAGTACTTTATATAACTACAATCAGTTCGCGAAGTTCAGCAGGTCCTAAATCCTTCATGCTTCTTGCATGAAAGTTTTGCAAATCCAGAATTTAGCCAGAACTCAACTAGGAGTCAGCGGTCCCCTTTCTTCAGTTATTTTAGAGGTAGTTCTTATGTAAAGGTTGTGGCAAAAAGGCAAGTGCAACAATAACAAACACAGCTAAAGACGATCTAGAGGGAAGTAGATAGGTAATCCCTTGTCAAGGACTGAGTGTAAAAGTTGCTTCTAAAAGAATATCATTGACTCCCTCGTATTCCCCTCTGGTACTGAACTTCTGTTGATAACTTTTCCCGTTATTTTTTGGCATATTTTGCAATAAACAGACTGAAATGCCTCAAAAGATATATTCCATGGCAAGTCCATGGTCCACCTGTTTCCCTTTTGAAGAAAACAGTAAAAGCCCGGGCCTTGTAAGAGCCTACATCCTTTTTAAAGCGTGGCAAAATGGGGTTTTGTATTTTGGGATAGTTATTGACAATTCAGGCTAAGTAGGTTCTTAATTTTCTACGAAGGGAATGTAGTTGTTTGATTACCAGGAAAATAAATAATCTTGTGTTTGGTCCTTAATTATACAGCATACATTATGGTAAGCCTAGCAAAACTGATTACAGAGTGTGTTATGTAGTGTTGCCTCTATACAAGAGTACATAATTTAACTTTAACACACATATAAGAACCAGCTTGATCTTGCTTGAGTAAACAGGTTTTTATATTTTTGGGTTTTAAAATGCTAAATTTCTGCCAGCAGGTTCTTAATCTGCTAGATTCTTACACGTGGGGTTCTACTGTTTTTGAATAGCACTGTTTTCATTTACACAGTTGAACTTTGATTGAGGCCATACGAGGTGAAGAAGACACCAGGAGATATAAGATGGCGTTGAAAGATGAAAACTAAATCATTAATGAAAGAGGTGGTTTGCATTAAGCCTTAAAGAACCAACTCTATTTGTAATTCATTCGTTGATAAATTCCTTCTTTGACAACATGTTTAAGAGTAGTTTCTTTCATGTTTCCATCTTAGAATGTTAATCGTTTAATGTCAGACAATACACTCAGTTTAAAATCTGATCTATCTTCTTTCGCTTGCTTTTGGAATCTTTTGGTTGCCGGAAATAGTTGTAACCAAATATCAAAATTATCAATACCAGTAACAAAACTGAAGTGCTACAAAACACATTTCAGTAATGACTATTTTTTGGCAAAAAGTTTCTTAAACCGATTTCTGTCAACCGTTTTGAAAAAGTGACAAAAGTTTCGTCAATGGAAACGAGAGAACAGAGCAAATACTTTCAAAAACAAAAATGTTGTGTTTGAATCCAGCCAAGTGACCTTGATTTTAAAAACATAGACACGCAACGGTTAATTAATAAATGAATCGGTACGGTCATCAATCAATAAGAATTCCCTCATAATCTTAGAGAACAAATTATCATACTTTAAGTGGAATGTGTTGATCGTCCGTTCCGCTAATGAGCCAGTTGGTCCGATAGACTTTTTCTTCCAATTATTGCTGCAAAAAAAGTTTCCTTTTTCTCTTGCACAGAAATTTCTTGTGCTTGTCTTGTGCTAGGCGAAAGCGAAGAAACGCTTTTGTTGTTAAATCAACTTGTGTGACCTATGGATATCATTTTCACTTAACATGAACGGGGTATTACGGTAAGGATCTCACGGGAGGCTTGAAAGCAATTCTGGGTCCAAAATAACCGTTATTGGTGACACGATACAGCAAGACTGCGGCTCATGGGAACATCTGTTCATTTTGTTGATAAGGGTAAACAGAGGCAGACAAACGGGGAAGGGGAAAGAGGGGGGGGGGGGGG